TACTGGTGAGAATATTAAGATTTTACAGATTAACGATAAAAGCTACTTAGTATAACGGTTATATCGCGATCTCACAACAAAACTATTACAGTTTTTATTAAAATATTTGTAAAAACTTTAAGAGTTTGAAGAAAGGTTAGGTTAGGTTAGGTTATAGTGGCCGGCTCGTTTATTCCTTTTATATTTCCCTCCAAAGTTCTCTATACTTAAGGCATTTCATCCCACCATGATCCGACTGTCAGCATTTTCGTAAATTTCTTTGTATATCGTTCTTGGCGACTTCCGTTTTTCCTGTACTTGTTCGGTAGCCAGACGGATGGCACTTTTGGCAATCTCATTAGCAGCTTAATTTCCCGGAACTTCTTTGTGGCCTGGAACCCAATATTGCTTTCTGGCAGCCTCTACATATACTACTTCCCTGCTTCTAAGAACATTCTTTGACGTAAAGCGACTTGAGATCGCCTGAGATCCAGCTTCAAGCAAAAGATCCCATTAAATTGGCCATTTTGGAACCATCTGTCGAGATGTTGTATGTTCCGCTTTGTTTGAAGACAGTTTAGATGATTTTTTTATTTTTATTTGATTAAGAAATATATATAATAGCATTATTCCAAGTATCGCCCAACTGAATATAATATATATAATATTATATTTTCCCATATTTGTGGCTATTTGTGGATTCCATCTTAAAAGAACTTGGGCAGCCAAGAATTAATCAAACTAATTTCTGGTACCCTGTTTTGATGGGAATCGGATACTATTGAGGATATCTTCTATTTACTAGATCAAATGTTGGTCAGAAGAGACAGGGTCTGGTCCATAAGGCTGGTAAGGCAAAACCTCTCAGTTGCTGTTTTCCAAAATACCTTTTTATCGCCGAGCGTTGACATGATGGAAACTTATTGCCGCGTGTTTCGTCGTAAATTCCGGGTGTTTTGACAGTCACTAGCTTACATTTGATAATAATGCACGTTCTCCTAATTCCATCGTAATGAATCCATTTTTCATCAGCAGTTCAATCCGACTCATAAACGACTTCTTTTTGTAGTGTTCAAGCAGTAATTCTTACTTGCAAAATAGCCTTTCAACTACTTTTGGCTTAAATTTTTATAACACTCAATTTCTTTGCTTCATAATACTATACATTTGAACGTTTTGAATTGGCTGCTTCAGTGACTCCCACAGATTCTGTGAGCTTTTTTGTGTTTAACAAGAAATATCTTCATTTTAAAAATTTTTTGCAAACCATTTTAGGCAGTGATTAAGAATAACTCACCACAAAAACTCATTTTCAGACTCAAAGTTTGACATATTTGAGTGAATAAAATTATTGTTGTTTAGGAATGATATATTCTGAAAAAGACGCACAAGGACAGTAGTTTTACAACGCAGGATATTGGAACAATGGATAATAATCAAGTTGGGGCATCTCCTGGCAAACTGCACAAATATCGTTATAGAACCGATAGTATAATATAAAGGGCTTATGAAGAACATAATAGCTTTTTCACTTTTCTTTCCCCAAACAATATATCTGTAATGAATCTGTAATCTGAAATGCTTCTCATATATCCCAAAATTGTTAAAATAAGAAGAAAAATGTTAGAAAACTTATTGAAAATTATTTCCACAAACCGCTCTAGTCTGCTGACCCCCACTGTCTATTCAAGCACATCAAATTCTAGTCAAATTGACGCAACTTATTTACTTGCTCATATACATACATATATAACTACCCACATCTTTACATATCGGCATATCACGTCATGTCAAACGAGCAGCTGTGTCGTATCGCGTCCATGCCCATTAGTTACCGGCTACGATTCTCATGCGCGTTTTTTACGTTGCGCTTATGACGCGCCGCCTATGATGTTGCAATCGTGAGACATTAAATATTTAAATTTTATTTGCATTTGGAGGAAATTTAATGATTTAACAATAGCAAATACATATTATTCGAGTAATCTCCATAAAAATGCCAATAATAATACAATTGCACTAAATATTGTATTTGTCGCTTTAAATGGTATTTATTATATGAGTATTACAAATATAATATACTCAAGTCTCGATTAAATGTAAAATGCGGATATGCGTGTTCTCGTTAGATAAGATAAGACAGCACAGTGCAAATTTTTTTTGTTGCCTACATTTTTTTTTTAAAGAATGTATTATATATTTACATACATATACATATATTTAATTATTGAAACTCATGTTTACTAGGTTCAATGAATCGTTATAAGTTAATGCACCCTTGTCTAACAGGTGTCTTATTTGGTATTTTGTATAAAATTTAGCTTATCGGGATTACTACTAATATTACGCAAATAGAAAATTTGCGTTTGAAAAAAATTTCGATTAGTTTTAATAGCCTTAACTTATTATACCCTAAGTTTTCAACACGTTTGTATAGCTTGTTTTTTAATATCTTCAAGAAATTTGGTATGTTTCTTTGTGGCAGTTGTTTCACTATAGCTTAAAGCTGCTATAAAATCTAGTTTTAGTGTGGAGAACTTTTTGATTTATGGGGGTATTATAGCTTAGGTGCAATTTTCTTTTCGTTTTTGTTAAAATCGCTCTTAATTGACTAGCACCCAAATCTATCACCTTATCAAGCGCCTATCGATAATGTGAAATTTGCTTTTATGCACTTTAAACTCAAATTTATTGCAACCCGTTTTATAAATGTCTTGGAAGTTCTTAACAATGCAAATAAAATATGTGACTATAAATAATAAATTACGAGTATTTATGTACTTAGGTATGTATAGTATAATGAATTCTTTTCGCTTGGATCTCATAAATCTGCTCGCATACTCAATATATTGATAAGTATACGTATACCTTGAAATTAAAGTTGGCCTTGTAGTATGACATTCAAAAATATGCCGTCGTTCTACTTACTATAATGATCAGYAGTGTATTACAGATGTTAATTGGCTATAGGCCCGATGCTACGCCATAAAATTGTACTTCAAAGCATTATATTGCTGTCTCCATGCTTCATTTTGAAGACCTTACCTAACTTTTCCTATTTGAACACACTCTGTTTATGTTCGTTTTGTCAGTGTCAGTTCAGTAGCTTGTTTCATTCACTTATCAAGTTCTTGTTTTGTAGTATTATTTTTATTATTATTTATGAGATTTCACCTTTAATTTTCTTACGAAAAACTTGTTTAGATCGGATCACTATAGCATATAGCTATGATATTATGGTACAAACTAAACGATCGAAATCCAGCGATTGCATGGAAAACTTTGTAATTTGCGGAAATATCTTCAAGAAATTTTGCGTTCATTTCTCCTAAGTCAATAATGCAATGAAATTGTTCAGAACCAACCTACGCTAACGCTATACATATACAAACTAACCGATCAAAATCAAGACAAATCTCTTTTTATGGCTGTGGTGCAAACGAAGGTAGCATTCTTTCTTGTTTTCATAGAATTTCGCATGAAATAATGTAGATTAATACATGGAACAAATAAACAAGCCTTCGATTTTAATTATTTACACACATACTCATTATTAATTTGTGCTATATACCGAAGTTTATGTAATATTTAATTAAGTTAACTCAACAAATTTTGTGGAAAAAGAAATGTCAATCTTCTACGAGTAAAATTGATCTAAGCTTGCCGCTAGTTTCACGAATATGTTGAAAGACATGCGATTGCTTAATGCTTGCGTTTTTAAAGGAGTTCAGTGCATTAGGTCAAATTAATCGTAGAAACCTGCGACCTACATTCGTGAGTTTTTTTTCCATATGATTCATTTTACAATGCAATAAGTATAAATATATTAGCATCCCAAGTATTGTGTTACTAACATTTGTGGGGATAAAAATTCTTTTATATTTTCTAATATAGTATACATATGTATGTATGTATGAGTGGAGGGGGGATAATAGAGTACGGTGAATGCTGATAAGGTTCATTTGAAATTCTGTGAAACATGCTCGTAAACCTACAAGCGGTTCGTTAACTATTAATTAAATTACAAAAAACGTTTGCTTTATCTGAAAGAAATTAGAAGTTTTACATGAGTAATAGTTTCAAATAACATTTTAGAAGTTGCCAGATGTTTATAAGAACGGAAGATACTGTACATATGTTACTATGTAATCTCACAGTTCTCATATATTTACATATTTCATTAACTTAAGCTTGGAGTCATCTGTTTTTAACCGTTCATTTATTATGGAACCGGAAAAATTCCTGTATGGGTGAAATATCTTTTAGCCAACGGTTCTCGTTACATAACCTTCATTTATATGATTTAAGAAAAATCTGCTTATAAAGTATATGAGAAAGTTTTCAAAGGGACTTTTTACTCTTAAAAGTCTTCATTTGTTCACTCTCCATTCATCTGTCATCCCGAAAAAAGCGTCAGATTTTCACTTACAGAGAGCAAAGCTCACAGTGTCGGCCATGTTTAGCAAAAGACATGACTTAAGAGGAAATAAATGTATAGAATCCGCAAAAGAACACTTGGCAACGAAATATAACAAATATCTAGGAATAAAAGAGTACTTTCGAGAATAAATGGTAGGTTGAATATCGTTGTCGGAAAGAAATCTGTGTCTCTCCAAATGCATAGACCATAGACCATAATTTAAAAGTCTTATTTATGAAGAAATTACTAAAGACTAAAGCCTCTTGAAGGTATTTTTGGTATATTAATAGTGTAAAGTATGATATAATGTTGAGAGGGAACAAAACCATGGGTGACAATTCCTGTATTTATATGACTATTAAAATATTTTCTTTGACTTTAATCGATCATTAAGTCAAGCCGAGCAATATTTATTTCTTCAAATTATTGATAAATATATCTTCTTTTTCTTGCAGGTTTACCTACTAAACAGACCGCTTCCCTTTAAGATTGGAATAAACTAAAAAAGCGAAGAATTTGCAATTGCATTTAACGACGTTATCTTAGAAATCGTTTTATAAACAATCTAATATCAGACACTACTAAACCAAATTTTTACAAAATGCCCAAAAAAGCAAGTAGTTTGAAAAAATGGCGCCAAAGTAATCGCAAAGTTATTATTGGACTTTGTGGATTCTGTTTGGGCATTTTTGGCGTGTTATGTGGCATGTTTTGGGAGCAAATTTTCAACAGCATAATGGAAAAGGTAAGTTATATTTAATATTACTGAGGTATGCACATACTAAGTACATATATATGTATATGTGAACTATAGTGAATATATTTGAAAAAAATAAATAAATAAATAACAAATTACTTATAACTTTTCCTCTTAATTTAGTCGATTAAAAACCGTTCGTGTTCTTTTTTATTTGTTTGAGAAATTAATACTACCGTCTAATCTTTGATTGAAATTTCAGTCAAACCAATTGATATTATTAACCCGCATAAAAGATGCATAAAGCCGCACGAGACTGTGAAACACGTGTGCACGTTTTTACTGAGTATTGATGAGAGGGAAATGAACGAACTCAATATTTCTGAAAATCGAATAAAAAGGCAATGCTCTGAAAAAAAAATAAACTTTTTATAAAGAAAAGTTCATTGCACGAAAGTTCACAACAGAGAAGCTTGACTGTATTGGTAGTTTAAGCTGTGATTGACCTTTAATCGAACCAATTGATATTATTAACCCATATAAAGCATGCAAAAAGCCGCACGAGACTTTGAGACACGTGTGCACGTTTTGAAAAGCTTGTTGTAAAAGCGATTACTCTTACAACATTTGTGCCTTGAGTTTATTTGTAACTATTATTGCTTTAATTATGCCATCGAAATGTTACATATGAATGTTTGTATGAATATAGTATATATAAATAAACTGAATACGTGAAACGACTTTTGTAAAAGCTGTTTTGGAAATATTAACTATTTACCTAAAATCCTACATCTGGAAGTTATTCGCTGATACAAAGAATAACTTTTCCTTGTATAATGAATTTCCTACTACTAAAAACCGCTTTAGTTTCGGCAAAACGTTGTCATAGACCACACTACTTCTCCACTGACAATGTCCCTATCTTAAACTTCCCACGTAACGCCGACTAATCAGATGTTGTCATCGTCCATGCCTCTGCACCATATAGAAAGACGAGGATAATAAGTGACTTGTAGAATTTGGCTTTTATTCGGTGTCGAGAGGGCTTCACTTCTCAATTTCTTACCAGTCCGAAGTAGTACTGGTTGGCAAGAGTTATTCTGCTTTGGATTTCGAGGTGTTAATGCTGGCTCCAAAATATTCGAAACTATCTACAACTTCCAAATTATGACTGTTCACAGTGACGTGGGAGCGAATGGGACGATATTTCGTGGCGCCGGTCGGTAAGAGTTATTCTGCTATGGATTCGAGGCTGACGTTGTAGAAACGTCCCAAAATTGAGCACTGCAGAAAGCCCGTCCCTTCTTCCAACCCTTTAAAACTTTTTAAGCTTAGTGGAACTGTCATTATATAACATATACATTTTTGTATATATTAATAACATCATTCATTTTCAATCTATCCCATTCATAGGAAATGACCCTACGACCCGACTCACAGGTCTACGACAAATGGAAAACTCCACCAATGGCTTTAAGTTTAGACGTTTACTTTTTTAATTGGACAAATCCAGAAGATTTTAAAAATCTCACTACGAAACCGAATTTAGTGCAGTTGGGTCCATATCGATTCACAGAGAAACAAGATAAAGTCGATATAAAATGGAATCCGGAAAACGCTTCAGTGACATATAGAAAAAAGAGTGATTTCTATTTTGATGAGGAGGGTAGCAATGGAAGCTTAGATGACACGATAGTCACATTGAATGCTGTGGCGTTGGTGAGTGAATATTCAATCTATCCATAGCCTAAATTTTTATTTCATTTATATATGGTATTCATAAAAATTTTCACAGTCCGCTGCCGGTAAGGCGAAACGTTGGGGCAATGTGCGCCGCAATTTAGTCGACGTGGGTTTGAAATTATATGGTCAGGAACTGTCTATAACTCGCACAGTCGATGAAATGCTCTTCACGGGCTATAGTGATGATATGTTGGATATGGCACGTGCCATGCCACTATTCGGCAAGGATGTTGAAGTGCCATTCGATAAATTTGGCTGGTTTTATACGGTGAGTTGGGTATAATAATACACTTTCACGATAATTATGCTAATATTTCGTCTTGGTATTAATACAGCGTAATGGCAGCGCCGATTTAACCGGTGTTTTCAATGTTTATACTGGCGCTGATGACATTTCAAAAATCGGTCAAATGCACCATTGGAACTTTAAAGAGCACACTGGCTTCTTTCAATCAACTTGTGGTTTAATTAATGGCTCAGCTGGTGAATTCCATCCACCATATATGAAGGAGAATGGTAGCGTTGCACTTTTCACGCCCGATATGTGTCGTACAGTGCCATTGGATTATACAGAAACCGCAGAGATTGAAGGCATTCGTGGTTTCAAGTATAGTGGTGGCGCGCGTTCCATTGATAACGGTATAGACATGCGCTTCTATCAAACTTGAGACAAGTTATATGCAAATATCTTTTGCAGGCACCCTCTATCCCGAGAATAGTTGTTTCTGTGGTGGTGAATGTGTTCCTTCGGGGGTTATGAATATTTCTTCGTGTCGTTTTGGTTCGCCCGTATTCATGTCATATCCACACTTCTACAATGCTGATCCATACTATGTGGAACAAGTCGATGGCATGACGCCGGAGCAGGATAAGCATGAATTCTATATGGTGTTGGAACCACGCACAGGTGTTGCTTTGGAGGTAGCCGCGCGTTTTCAAGTCAATATGCTTGTTGAGCCGATTAATGGCATAACGTGAGTATATTTTACACATTTGCAAGTGATAACTACTATATGCAGTTAAAATTTGGAGTTCATCAAAACGTTCATATATGGTCTGAAAGCGAGCATTGATCAGATATATATATAATAAAATCTAATAAACCCTTTCACTGGCTACAAGTCCCGAAAAACTACTAAGTTTAGTCCCTTCGTCTGAGAAAGATTGGCCACAGGTTTCTACTAGACGAAATAGACACTGCCATGGGTTTGAAACCGTCACGAGCAGAATCCAACTAGTAAATCTAGTCTAAGCAATCTATTGACTTAAAAGGCCCCTGTAATACAAAATTTTGCGAGCATTGCTTTTAGGAGATATGTATGTATATGTAGATATATTGATAAAGCAGAAAGAGGATAATCGAATTCGCTGCGTTTGATGAAACTTTTTTGAGATAAATAAATAAGGGACTGGGATATATTAAGTAAATAGATTTTATAAGATAGTACTTGTGCAATTAGGATATAATGTATATATTTTTCAAGAAAATATATATACCAGTTAGTACTATTTCTTTAAAAATCTGTTTTGAAAGCACACATTTCAATTACATTTTTTTCATAATTTCCTTCCATTCCAGTTTGTACGAGAAAGTGCCACGCGTCTTCTTCCCACTCATCTGGTTCGAGCAGAAGGTACGCATAACACCCGAACTAGCCGCCGATTTAAAGATGTTACCGCAAATACTCATAGGCGGACAAATATTCGCTTGCGTCTGCTTTGGCATTGGTCTAATATTGCTCTGTTGGTATCCCGTTGAAATACTTTGCACACGTCAGAGTTCTGTCGATCTCAAAACTATGCCTACAACTGTTGAAAATGGCAAGAAAACAATGAAATTCTCTAGTATCGAGGAACTCAAAAGTCGACCAATACCTAGTGTTGTTGTCAACAACAAAACGCTCGATAGTTCACCACTATTGGATCGTACGAATGGTAAGCCGGTAACGGTAGTGCCAAAATCAGAGACAAATGAGAGTGTTGCCACCACAACAACAGCCACAAATTGTGGTGTCATTAGTGACAATGTAAAGGAATAATACCTTGGGTATAAATACGTAATACAACTCATTTTGGAAGCAACCAAATTATACGTCCTATTGTATGCCTTTTTTATAGAATGTAGTTAAGTGTTTTGTAAATTCGGTATAGTGTTGTAAGTACAATTTTTGGCTTAGCAGCTGAAACTGTTATTCCGTTTTGTATTTAAAAAATGCCGTTAGAATATTAAGTACAGTTATAAAACATACTATTTACAAATAATAAATGGAATACTCCAGTTAACTAATTGTAATCTGTAACGTTGAGTGTAAAAGTAAAGTGATCTGAGCATAGCACTGCGAAATGGTGCTAGCGCAGCATTTTTTCTACGAGAATCTCTCCTAGGACAAAAAGCGATCTCTCTTTACGCTCTGCAGACCTATGCATGTCCCACTCAGCCTTACGAGAAACGTTCACTATACATATAAATACCTATATCGTAATCTACACTTAAAATAACATGAACAATATAGAATTTAAGTATATACTACTGATATATCATGACATAATATAGTATGATAATGTCAAATGTTTTTTGTAATAATATCAATGGGCACTTGATCGGCATTAGTTGTAGTAATATTAGCAAGTAGTTAGTTTTTTATACACAAATTACACAACTTAGCAACAAAAACAAGATGTGATAAACCAAATGTCCAGGAAAAAGATGGCCTCAATCAAAATCAGATATTACTTATCATAAGTTTATTAGAATATATAATATGACACGGAGAACGCATTGAATATTTCGATCTAAGTAATTTTGTATTTTTATAAATGATAAAAAACTATTTTTATACATAAAATTGTTCTGTTCAAAGTAAAATGTAGTAATAAAATTCGTAAAAAAATGCGGAATGTTAACAGAAAAAAAAACATATAACATGAAGACACTGCAAGAAATTATATAATTAAACATTCCTTACTTAGTTCGAACTCTCAATCTATTATAAGTAAAATACATGAAATTATAATAAAGAAATTATGTGGTTTTCCTAACCTCAAATCATTATAAATTAGTTTTATCGGGTTCAAAAAATCTCAACAACAGAATCCCATCCTATCTGTTATGATTTGAGTTGATTTTATGAAATTATCTTTTATTCGCGGTATTTTTTAAACTATTTGATAAGTCATTTGCTCACACATATTATTTAAAAATTCTTTGAAATAAAAATTGAAAAAATAAAAGTCATGACTTTTTTGACGCGGTGGTGGCGGCACGATCTTAGTTGAAAATGTAGCGAAATGATCACGAATAACCAATGCAGTATGGGATGGTGGTTTATGGCACTTCTTTGTTCAATAAATTCAGACATAGTAAAACTCGTAATACTTTTAGAGCCTCACCAAACGACGCCTATCTCAAATAATAAAGAATATATTTTGAGCAGAGCACAGCACTACCAATTTACAGAAAAAGAAATTTACCGATGCGAAAAACACGCGAAGTGCAAATTAAAAGTTCACCTTTCAATTTGATCACAGTAGTAAGCACATGCCAACATTTTATCCAAATGACTGAATATACTAATCTAGGGTTTTTTTTTTAATGATTCAGCTTGCGCAATTTGTATGAACCCGTACTGATCAAAAACGATTACACGGTATTTCAAACGATGTTGTGATTTCATGAACCAAATAGTTGATAGTCCTTCATCTCTTTAGGAAATTTCGTAGCAGTCCAAACAGATATACACTGCTGCCCTTAGGTTAGACGCATCAATGTTCTTTTCAAATAAATTAAAGGTATGCTGTATATCATTCCCGAGGAATATCCAATCGAAACATTGCCAAACAGATAAAGCGCAGCTAAAGAACCGTTGATAGATATTTAAAGGATCCAGAGGCATATGGAAAATACTTTAAAAGAAAAAAGGAAACCCTACCTGTACACTCAGTACGCAAAATTGTTAGAATTGCTTCAAATTCGGCAAAGCTAAGATTCAGGAATTAGAAGGAGTAAAAGCAAACTTTATAACTGTTCATTGTACAATCAGAAGTGCAGCACTCATAAAGCGTCTAAAAATCAAGAAAAATCTCCCTCTGTATGAACTACGCAAAAGACGCCTTCGACTCGCGGAAGAATACATGACGTGGGTTGTTCAATCTGACACTGGACTTAATGATTGGCCCTCAGTTGTCTTGATGAAAAACGTTTTAATATAGATGACCCTGATGCCTTTCAATACTATTATCACGATTTGCGGAAAGATGAGCTATATTTAAGTTGCCAACACACCCGAGAATGTGGAGTCATTATGGGGGGTGCCATCATGTTTTATGGCACAACTGACTTGATTTTTATCGTTGTATCGTATTTCCAAATTTCTATCATCATTAACATAATAAATACCAAACCTAATTACCAGTAGTGTATATAAAAAGCTTCGTTGTATGAGGTTGTTAACATGATCTCGTAGCTAAAAAAAAAAATAGAGCCAAGCGGGTTTCTGCTTTACCCACTAAGTTCATTAACTTTCTTGTTGTTGCGTAAGCTCTCGAAGTCTCACAGCGGAAAGTCATCCGATGAGCTATACATAATAGAATATAAATGCAAGAGTTAATTCACTCAGGCGCTGTCGGGAAGAGTGTCTTCATAGACTTATTAGGAACGTGAAGCGTTGCTTTAGGGAATGGATGCAAGGACCACTTCCCCCACTCCCACTTCTTTGGAACTATTGGATATTAGGTAACATAACTAGAAAACGAGAATCGGAATGAACCTAGACGTTGAAAACAAACTATTTACCGGCTTTTATCAATAAGATAATAAAATAAGACACTATTTGAGGATATGAGTATTGAATTTTATCCCGTTTTACACAAACTGAAAACTTTTTTGTTTGACGAGTTATCTTCGCGAAAATTGACATCGATTATTGTCCAAGGCAAAGATATCATAGTTGAAGAATATTTCCCGATCGGTCCACTATACCACATATCTGCCGTACAAATAGAAAGTCAAGTTCATACAAGAAACTTCTTTATAACTATGTGAAGACCATTCTAGGTGCGGTCATTAACATTTTTTTCATGTTCGAAAGTCAAATTAGGGACTGCAGAAAGCTGAAGGTAATACAATTCTATTAAAAGAGCACTCTCTGAGTGTGGAATATTTCATATTTTCGGTTACAACTAGTTACAAAAATCACTCTATTTGGAACTGTTATAGTATTTTTTTAATTGTTTAGCAACGACTTCTGTGTAGGTGTACATATCAGGTAAGACCGATATGGGGTCTAATATAAAGTGTAATGTAATAAAATATGAATAAGTATAGCTAAAAAATAATTAAAATAACTAGACATTATTTAATTCATCTTTGATAAGTATTGTACACAGTTAAATCTAAAATTCGGTTTGTCACATAATTTTATTAATTTATAATATATACAACAATGTACACATTTTTCATTTTCAAATAAAAATTGCCATTGCTTAATAAAACAGAAAACAAAAATAATATTCTATATGATCTGTATAGTTTTTTACATTTTTTATTCATTATAAAGTTTGTAAAAATTTACAATCATACTTATTAATATGTCTAACTTCTTAAATATAAAACTTTGGCTTAATTTTGTTTTACAAATATTCTCAAGAATTTGAAAATTAATTTTTTCTTCCACTGACCAAGAAAAGAAAATATCTTGGTGAGATATTTTCTGTTGGCTCTTTTTTATTTTTATGTTTTAAGAAAAACTTTGGAAAGGAAATACACTTTTTCTCTAAGAAAAAGTAGGCGAATTTAAAATTATCGTTTACTAGATATTTATATGTAAATAGAGATATTTATATGTAAATTCACTTCAACGCCTAATAGTACACGACTTTACGTTTATTCCATTCGAGAGCGATATCCATTAGGCTGGTGCCACGTATGAAATCCACCGCTACAATATTCGCATGTGCGCCCAATTCGTCGCGATAAAGTTCAGAAATACGCCAATTGACTTGATCGGCCATTTTTCGTAGCCCGCCATATTTATCGAGTATAACACCCCACGTGTCAGGTGTAAGTTCTGCCATATCAGCAATGGGTCGGCTTGATAGGCGACTGCAAGGAATGAATAATTATTGTTAAAACATCCTCAGAGGAATTATAATTCTAATAGATTAACACAGGTAATGATCGAAAGAAGAGTATAAATGGTAGATTTTTGACAAAATGGCAGTTTCCTAAAAAAGTAATTTTTGTGAAAAATTTTCACTTTAGAGTGGCTAAAAAAATCAAAATTATTTTCAAAAAATTGTATGCGTTCGATCAATACCTGACAAATATATGTATTAAAGAAAGTTATGTGAAAATTTTAAGTCAATCGTTGCAGCCGCTTCGAAAACATTTGCTAAGCGACTCTGTAAACATCTTTTCGAGAAAAACGCGTTTAAAGTTTTTTTAAGCAGATTACACTAAGTTAAAGAATTTTTACAAATCCACTCATATTTCCCAATCTAACAGCTAGATCAACTTACAATTTTCGGATAATAGCGTCAAATATGAATATTTCAATCTGATATATAAGCAAAACAGATTTTTTACTTTCAAAATCGGATATAACCCCTTAAGATTATGTTAAATTAAGTCCTAAATTTCTTCAATCCTAAACAAATATTATACGATCCACTTACGAAACATCAAAGTTGTTAATTGAACGTAAGTACTTCTCCAGCTTTGGCCATGTTTGCACATTGCCCCAACGTTGCTCCACCGAACGAAATAGTGTATTTGGAAATTCAGCCACTACTTGGCCCTTGTCATAAGCCAAAATGACGTTCTGTTGCCTTGACCAAATATCGTTTAATGTTGCGCGCCATGACGCTGAAGGATGCACGATAACATCGCCAAATTGCTGCTGTAAGAAACTGACCAGCAGCCGATGAACGCCAAGACCTTTTCCGAAACCTGCAGTTAAATATAGGTATGTTAAACAGTTACTAAGCCCTTAAATATGCGTATAATTAGAAACAAGCGTTTCGAAATTTACTTACCAACCGGAAACTCTTTCAAACCGAATATCACAATCTCATTTGTCTCCAAGACGAACTCTTTAACTTGCTCAATAATTTCCGCTAGAGGACGCTGTCGTGTAACGCCATGATTAATGTAGAAACGCTCGGGCGTATTGCGATAATAACCAACGCGTATATCCAAATAACGCACGCCGTGCAACAACTGGCCGCGTACGTCATCGTCCTGTGTCAGCGCATACTTTGTGACGATCGTTTCGCGTAGTAGTGGATCGAAATCGGGCCTGTACGAACCGGAGTCGTGTGTGCCAGGTATGAAGAGATCGCGCATACGCATACCACCCACCTGTGCGCTCATTTCGCGCATCCAACGTGGATAGGCGCGCAAACAGCTGGTGGCCAATATATCGCCGCTGGCATTCACATAACTCGCCCAAAAGCCATAACAGCCCGTTTTGGCGGTCACATTGCGTGAGTGCGCGTAATCAAAATATACACCCGTGGTGAACCATTGTGCGGCGGCGCTTGGTTGTAATGCAGCGACTATATCATCGCTGCCATTGTTTGAAATCCAATAAAGACGCGGCGGCATGGATGCTATGGGCGGCGCCGCGTTGTAACTGTCCACAAAGCCGCTACCTTCAAAAGTGTCGCTCGCATTCGAACGCGCAACGTAATTGTGTTTGTTTTCACGTTGGAGTAGATAGCGCGTCGGCGAGGAAGTGCTGCGTTCGGTAACGCCATCGTTTGGCACAAAGCCGCTACCTTCGGCGTTATCAAATGCGGCTAGCGGCGTGCCGGTCGTGCGTTCGACGCGTTCAAACTTATGTGGCGCCTGCATGGTAATCAATATGTGATCATCCTTGTGCGCAGGCGCGTTGGTCCAAGAGACCTCCACAAAACGATGGCGCGCACTTATTGTCAGCCAAAGCCGCAATTGTTTTGGTTGTGCGTCCGGACGCGTGGCGCTCAAATCGTGTATGTCATCGTAGTTGTAAGGCAGCGTGGAAACCGTGCTCAGGCTGAACAGCGCATAAACGTAAAGCGCAAAGAGCGCTTCACACACTTTTATTGCTGACATTTTCAAAACGTAACTGCTGCAGTACAGGGTGTAGCGCCTCTGTGTATGTTATACAAATATGTATATAACTATTGTACTGTTATTTGTGTTTATCACTTTCACTTACTGGTGACGCGACCACTTGAATTTAATTAATTGAAAACACTTTTCACGTTTTTTCAGTTTGTTTATCTTTTCACTTAATTTTTCAACTGCAATACTTGACGTCGTGTGTGAAACTTGCTTTATTTTACATGCTCGTTATTCACTTAAGTGACAACGCGGCCGCTTGCACTTTGTTCTCGTATAAATCGCTCTCAAACTGGCTGACTTGCGACTGGTAACGGACTGCGCGTGCAATTTCAACCGTTCACTTAGAGTGTTTGAATCGTTCTAGATTTGTTTACAATATCATTTACGCTTACTACTTAAGACAATAGTTGGAAAAATAATACAGTAGTATTGTAAAATAACTAAACACAGTTAAAATGATTACATAGGATTGAGGTAATGCCCCAAATTGAGAAATTCACTAATGAGGAGAGTCATTTATTTGGACATTTGACAGAATCATTTCCTCTTCCTCGATATGGTAAAAAAAAATGTACTGTTTCATTTAGATTTAGACATTCTTTCCTTGGTAACACCAAACGATGTAAAGCTGTTTCATTGTATCTTACCTCTGGTGATGTAAAATTGTAACAGCTTGTCATTATTTGGTCTTACAAACCAAACAGAGGCAAAACTTTTGTTGTGGTAAGATAACAAACTCTTCCAGTTTTTTGTTCTGACAGTGTCATTTCCTGCATAAATGGGTGGTTTATAGAAATAGTTTTCATATAAGACTGAAAAATCTACTACCATTTCTGTTTCAGAGATATGTAGTATACGGGTTTTCAATGATTCCAAACAATGATAATATTGGATCGCCCAAAATACCGGCTTAAAATATCCAGTAAAAACAGTGCTTGGTTTCTTCACAACTTCACAAACTCTCTTTTAAGATTTTGTGCTCTTTTCAACACTAAAGATTGGCCACAACGAGCCTGCGTCTCATTTTTATAACCTGAACAGAGTATATTAAGTTTGCAAGACCCAGAAGGAAAGGTGGCCCTTCATATATCTACATCCGTCTGTATGTATATACGCAAACTAGTCCCTCTAGTTTTTCGATAACGATCACGGGGAGAAATTCCCAACAAACTGATAATTTGTTGTATCCACCGGACAACCATGATATATCTGCCATACAGAAGTGATCGATCTAAACCCAGTCTTGTGTGGAAAGATTTTTTATTTGACGGGATATCTTGCCGAAATTTGGCACGGGTTATAATCCAAGGCAATAATCTGATCTCCGAACAAAATGTTCAGATCAGATCACTATATTACTTTTTTCTTTTTTTAGTAATATTTATCTACTCTAACTCTCTGCGGGGCTTCATTCATAAAAATATCTATATCATATCTTCACAATCATACACCATATAAGCAAATAACTCTGACACTGCGCCAAATTGAGTACACGACCTGATCGCGGAAGACCTTCACGCTTATACTGTTTACAAGCCCCAATTGGCTAGATGTCGCTGAAGCAAGCATCAACTTGACATGAGTAGTTATATTTACGCTGAGCTTCATAAATGTAATTGCAAGTGAGCATGTTGCTATAGCGGAGCATCAGACTCAGTATGTAAACAACACCTGCCTTGCATCGGAGCTATGTAGCGGTAGAAATACATATTTACATATATAGACATATTTAAAAGGTTAAGCGAGAACTAAATGGCAAGTCGGGAACTTTTTTCGATTTTATACCCAACGCATGAATGCAAGTAGGGTATTATAACATCGAAATTATTGGTGAATGCAGTCACATTTTTAAAGAAGGGTAAATGACTGAAGCTCTTGTTATAATATATATTATATCAAGTGAACACTTCCACAGAATAACGGAATCCGAATAAAGCTAGGCCTACTACTAATATTACTAGAAGCACTGTAACTGAAATCTTCTGAGCGTTTTTAACTCTTCCTTACTTTTTTTATCGCAATTACTTCAACAATCGATGCATGCGATTTGATATCGAAGAATTGTTCTCAACAATATCAATTAAATTAGTTTCACAGAATAATTAGCCATAAGTAATTACATACATATACTAATGATGAATTGCCATATATGGTGCTAAATGTAAATTGAGTAGATTCTTGTTATAAAATAGAATTTATCACAAAATCTTAATAAAAAGTTTGAAAACTAGTTTAATAAAAACCAAAAAACAGACATTTATCTACGAAGCTTCAGAGAAATAGTGTACCCAAAATATGTTAGGTGAAGAAGGTAATTACAAGGGGATAATTATAAAGAATAAAGGTGCTCATCTGATCGCAAGATAAATTCTAAGCTTTAAAGACCTTTTTCTTTTGAACCCATGTCTCCTTTTCTAAACCTACATTGCAAAATATTTTTAAAAACTAGGTGCCAGGTCACAAAAACATCGAGGGCAATGTAGGGGACAAGGTTGCCAAGAACGGTACGGAATATAGGGAATACAAACTGGTCAGTGTCTGGTGGCGACACACGCATAATGAGACTGGCGCATCGAGAAGACCGCAGGAAATGTTTAGAGCAGAGCCGCAGGAAATTAATGGAGCATCTCTGGTGCAGTTGTCCTGCTTTGGCAAGACTACGCTGCCATCATCTGGGGCCCACAATATGATACACTTGGGGAGGTATAGATAGTGTGGCCACAGAGTCTGTTAAAATTCGCGATTAACTTAACTTAAGTAAGATGTTAACGAGATTTTGCTACGAAGCAAAAAAAAAGTTTTCTAGGTACAAAAAATTCTAATTGGCGATATTTTTGTATGTACAACACATACGTTCAGATATACACCTACAATCAAACTATTGCTTAACATTTTTATCATTAGAACAATTTCACATCTTAAAGCACAGTGTTTTAGTCATTGTTCCGCCATTTCCGCTTTTGATTTAAATTTCATTTATGAAAAAAAAAATATACGCTTTCACACGCGTTGGCGCTCACTTTTTTACGCTCTTTCGATTTGTTTACAATGTTGATGTAATCACATTATAATTGTATTTAAATGCATAATGTTGCTTTTTTATTTATTTACTTATCGTTATTTGCACTTTTACTCTCAATAAACACTAATAACACCTGCACTAATGTTCTCTTCATAAGCAAATGTTTGACCACGTATATATTTACGCTACACGAGCTGTGCTCTTGCACGCTGCTGCAGATTTCAGTAATCAAACAATAAATTTATTCCACGACAAAAGGCCAACCCGTAACCAGCAACCCACCTAACTATCGTTCCTAAAGTACCACCTTTCACGTGCGGTCGTAAGCGCCGACTGAAGCTCACCATTGCAGGGAATCTTTGACTTGCCGCCGCACCTACAAGTGTACAATATTTTAGTTACGTGCGCTCTCATGCTTTTGTTGCTTATAAATAAGATTTACTATGTTTTATTCCCATTTTTGATTATGACTTTTTATCTCAATTTTACCGCAATGTGTATTTTTTATTAAGAGAGTAGTGCCGTAATTTGCATAATTTAATCTGTGTTCAAATTTAAACTCAAACCGACATACGCTCCACACAAAATTATTTAGCAAACCACTTGCACTTTTTGGTTTCAAGATCAGAGTGGATTTCTGTACAATAAAGAGAGTTGTAGTTGCTTTAAAGAAAGTTTGTATCGTTCATGCCTTGGAGGATATAGTGGGACATTTGTATAAGCTACCTGTTGTTTACGTGGCCTTAAACTCCCAAAACAAAAAAGAAATATGATCCTTCTACAGCATCAACAACAGCAGTTCAGCTTAGTCTGAAGGTATCCAGTTTAATAGCAAAGGAAAGGCATGTACTTTCAATACAAATAAGAAACCAATAATATTCGGTTTATTTAACAAAAACATGTATAACAATATTATAATAGTTGTATTCAAAGTACTGTGCATCTGAAGCTGTACCATTTTCCCATCTTTCTGCCAATTTTCGGACTCCAACCCAATACAAGTGCGCCTGCTTGGTGCCCAAGAATGAATTCAGCTCTTTTTATTGATATCCTGCCCTGATGTGAACCGTATTCCAGTGAGGACGTAGGGTCTCTTCTAGACTAGTCAGGTGAGCAAAAGCTTCCGAGCCGCTATTTTCCAAATAGTTTTTAACCAGTCCTGCAACAAGACGTCGAATATTGCCATCATGGAAAATTATTGCCTGGTTTTTATTCGCGAATTCCGGGCATTTTTCGACAAAAGCTCGCAGTAATTTGCTGAATTTTTATCGGCCAACTTCTCCATTAATTGTATCAGAAGAGGACGCTCTTCTGAACAAACCAAATACAAGGCATTATCTTATTATATACATATATTCGGCTTTGCCGCCGATATGATTTTTTGGGTTTAGGATTGTTGTAAGAGATAAATTTCCTTGTTTTGTATCCGATTGCTTTTAAAAGCTTTGATGGCTGATTGAGTAACTCTTCATCGAGTAATGACTCCAGTACCGTATGTTCAAATTTTTTTGACCGCCTAGGACCTTCAACATCTTCGAAACCAAAATTTCTCTCAGCTCAGCTAAACTTCTCTCAAAAGTCGATGATTTCCTGTTGAAATTTTCTTCATATTAAAATAATAAGGAAGAACTCCTTGCAAAAACACTTTCCAGGCACAAAATTCGACTTATTTGAGTGAAAAGAAATATATATAAAAGGACACACAACTCAACTTGTTTTCCAACGCGTTTTCGGAATATTAGAAAACTGGAAAAATAATCAAGTTATGTCATCTCTTGGACAGCCTGGATATAGTTATAGACCTAATAGTTATTCCATTAAGAAGTTTTTTCTAAAATCGTAATTCACTTGATAAATTAAGGAATTAGAAAGTTTGACGAAACTGAAGTTATATCGTAGATAACTTACTTCACCAAATATCATACTTTAGAAAACTGAACTGATTTTAGGAATTCTGAATAAACAGAAAAACAATATTTGGTTTTTTAATTTATTGTCTTTGAAGACCACAGAAGAGGATGATAAGAACTTTTAGGAATATGATGATAATAAATATATATAAAAAAACATTTTTTTAAATTACATTAGTACATTTATAGATACAATACTTAAAATGCTATAATTACATTTTATTAAAAAAATTGAAATATTCTTTTATTATATATATATATAAATATTTTTTTACGGTCACATTTTCTTAATTATAATAAAATATAAACTCATCTTTGCCAAAGTTAAAAAAAATTAATTTTGTTACATCCCTAATACCTTCCACACTTTTTACTTATCTAATGCAACCATGTGGCAGAATCAGCTGTTCGCTTTTTATTTCAAATTAAGGTAAACAAATAAATTGCAACAGCTCAGAGGTATAGAAGAAAATAAATTAATGGATAATGAATGCAGCTCTTGAATTAGTGCCTACTCTACATAAACCGCTGCACTCCAAAGTTTCCAACTACCTAAACAATCAACGTCGTTCTGGACAATACTGTGATTTAATAATTGAATTGGAATTGGATGTGGCTGGCGATGATGCAAATGCCGAATTCGGACACTTTTGTGTTGTTGGCGCACAAAGTCGCTTCATTGGCGGACCACAATTCATACAAAAATCATTGCAATTTTCCATACACAATCCATTAAAGGTGACCATCAATAATTTTAGTTGTACGCAGTGTTTGCATACCATGATGGACTTCTTCTACGAAGATATAGTTTCCATATCTAAGGAACATGAACCGCATTTCAAGCAATTGGCAAAGATATTAGCAGTGACAGAGTTAATGAATTTATTCGAATTGCCAGATGAATTGGTGCCTACAGTGAGTGGAAATAATCTGGCGGTCATAAGTCAAGAATGTGATGCCGTCAATGAGACTGAGATTCTGGTAAAGAAAGAGATGGGAGAAACAGACACAGAGAAAAAGCGTGATGTTAATTTAGGTAATAGAGATATCTTTAAAGATCAGCGCAACTTTTTCAATGTAAGTAGACCATGTCATTTATGACTGAATAATTAAATAGATTTATATTTCTATTTTTGAATTTAAAGCTTAAGAATCCGCGGGCCACTAGTTCCAGCAGTAAAATCAACTATTGCATCGGTTGTGATTTCAAATGCTATCGCGTGCAGGAAATGATCACACATATGAGCAGCTGTGAACCCTCTCATCTCACCTGCTCGCTGTGTGAAGTGGGATTTCTGGCATGGCGCGAGTATGAAGCGCATATTCAGCACCATCTGAGCAATTTGAAGAAACCGTTCTTTTGTCTAGAGTGCGGTGCTCGATTTGTCAATCGCGCAGCGCTAAGCATACATTTGCCCAAACACACAACCGAAACACCGCATCAATGCCAACACTGCGGAAAAGGTTTCAAGTGGAAGCAAGGCTTAAACAGCCATATGTTAATACACAATAAAGAGAAGCAAATGCTTTGTGATGTTTGCGGTTATAGTACAACACATATGAAAGCACTAAAATCACATAAACTACAACACACTGGCGAATACTTTAAATGCCCATATCCTGACTGTAATCACCATGCAAATCGCAAAGAAAATCTACGTATACACATGGAAACGCATAAACAAGAGCGTCCATTCGTATGCGAGGTTTGTGGTTGTAAATTTAGTCAAAGTAAGAATTTGAAACGACATGCGCTTAAGCATTCAACGAATGAAATACACAAATATAAATGTCAATTGTGTTCATTTAGTAGTCATCGTTCGGATAAAGTGAAGGAACATGTACAACGTGTGCATACTGAGAGGGAAGTGCAATTGGAATTGCCGGAGATAGTTGAGAATGCTTTTGAAAATAATGTCTGTGATGAATTCGATTTGCCACCGTTGACTGGCATCGATAAAGGCGAGATATTGAATGTGAAGAAAGAAAAAGTAAAGACGAAAGATTTGACAAAAAAAGCTCGCATGAAAAAGAAGGCCACTATTTTAACACAGAACAAACGACAAGTATCCATTGCGCCTAAACCAAATGCAGTTGTTGCGACAGTTAAAAATATAATAAGTAATAATATTAATAGTTGAATAAATTTTACGCATTAAATGCAATTTTGTGTTTGATTATAATGGTGGCAAGGACACTTACCTGGTAACTGCTCTGGTGTAAATATTGGTTGGAATTATGCTTTGAATTTGTTTATTACAATGTTTTTAACACACTATTCACTATCATTTTTTTATTTGGAAGTTTGGTGTAAGGAAAGAATATAGCATTTAAATTTTGCTCACTTTGCCAGGGATAATTTCTAATAATTATAACTATTTTACACTGATCACACATTTCCACATGCACTTGGAGTATTGGTATTGATAATGGCATAACTAATATAAGCTTATCCGCAAATATGCAGAAAATAGCTTTAAAGATTGGGCTTTGCCCACTTTGACATGGATGAAATACACTTTTGTAATAATTATACAAAGTTTTTACTCGACCACATACTTGCTCCCGCAGGCTAAAGGATATAGCTAATATAAGCACACTTGCACTCATAATATGGAATATAAATGGAATTTTGCTCATTTTGTAATTGATACGACTACATTTTTGTAATAATTATAGATTTTTTTCACTTAAACCACACATCTACATTTGGAGGACTAGCACTGACGAGAGGACTTTACTAATACAAACTCCGAATGATATTTTACAAAAAAGATGGTGTACAGATCGCTGCACTTCTTTCATGATTACTGATTGTGAGACTTTGATCACAGATTTTAACTTCCACTTCCACTGGGTAGCGGCACAGGCAAAAGGACCCTGCATAGGCATTTGCAAAATATATCATATTTATCACAAACTTTTGCTTTATGCTGAAGATAATTTATTATGCTTATGCGTCTGAGCCTAATGCTTAGACGGAATTGTTATTTTATTAATTTAAAATTGGATTAATCGGAAGTAATTAGATTTTCACCGGACTACGAGTTTTATACACAATAAGCATTTCCGCGCGCGTAGCTTGACAATTTTGCAGCAACTGGAATGACAGATGGGAGTTTATGAATTGACACAGGGTGATTGCAATGATTTTTTATCAATTAATAATTAAAATAAGCGTTGAAACATAAGTAACTTATCTACTTAATTATAACAATGATTATTATGATAAGTTATGTTAAATTCGGACTACTTAAGTTATTGATATTTGCATTATCAGTGAATTGCCACCCCAAATTTCGGTGCTTTCACAAGGACTAAACATTCCAATAAGAATTTTTATAACATAACACCTAAAACTTTGCTACATCCTGCACTTTTCTTTCTCTGACGTCACTGACCTGCCAAACATTTACCGTTTAACCAGCTCCGGTCAGTTATTCCGCCATTTTAAAGTTTCGTGTAAAAGAATTTCGTGGAAGTGCCGTAATTTAATAAATATAGTGTATTAAAGTCATGTTTTTGGTTCTTATTAGTTGTACATCAATACAACTACCTAAACTGAGTGTAATTAAATAAAGTGCAATGTGCGGGCCATGTAGTTAAGTATGTGATAGCTAAAAGAAAAATGTGCAAAAAGCCGGCAATTGCGTTGTGCGCATCAATATCTTTTTTTGTGTGTTTAGTGTGATACGCTGTATGAAATAGCGTTTTGTGTTGTGAATCATTAAGTGTTTCAAAAAAGAGAGTGTATACAAGTGTTTTGATAAGAAAATTCCAGAACAATATGTTGATGTGCAGGGGTACGGAGCAGCAGCAGTGGCGTACAAGGTAAACTTCTACAACTTGTTAGATTATTTGTTAACAAGACTGTCACTTATTGGTACAACAAAAATATAATTTATTCGATTAGAAGTAAACAAACCGGCGAATATGATAATAAAAACAAAGATACACAAAAACAAAAATCGGTCACGGCTTTTTATTGCGTGGCTGCATTTGGCATTGGATATTTTTCTGTGTGTGTGCATACAATCACGTTGGCCTGTTTAGCAAAACGTCTATACGTCCATTAGCGCGTGGGATTATGTTTAGAAAAATTCTATTTTATTGTTTTTGTTAACTTATTGCTTTTTTATAGTATTTTCTTATGCATATTTTTATTTATATGAGTGCTGCACTTACGCTAAGTGGCTCTTGATTTTCTCAGTAACGGTCAGAATATAAAAAGTTTATAAAAAATTAATTTTCTTTCGCCTGCGCTGGTTCCATTATATTTCATCAGAAATGTATCTGTTTACACAATTGTTTATAAAATGCTGTATATAAAATATGTATATGAGGGCAATAAGACTTAACAAGTACTCAAGTTGTGTTTTCTTAGATTATTTTTGCGTTGATTAAAGCTTCCAGCCTAGAACAGATACATACATATGTATGTATGTATATATTAATGTACAATTTATTCAAATCTGCCGTATCCATGGGAAGCGGAAATGATAAATTCTAACATCTCGATGCGAAGCGTAAATGCTGAACTCTGGCATTCTCATTTTTACGAATTTGTGACTCTGTACTTACATTACTTTGACAACGAAAAAACACATACCTACATACATACATATGGAACTCTCGTATATATTAATTTTTACGTTTTTAAGTCGTAGTGCCATATTTTCTATTCGAATTCGTACTTACCAGTATATTTTTCTTTAAAAATACAGAACATGTGTATGTAGCTGTAATTCTATGATTTTTATTATGATTTTTAATTCTTAATACCTAGTGTAACAGTAAAAACTAGTCGATTTTTGTGATTTGAAAACAAAAAACTCCTGCATAAATTGTTTAAAAATTTTAAGGGCATACATATTTTTACATATTTTAAGAAAACATAAAAATGTATGAAAAAAATTTAGTATTTTTTCGAGTTCGTAGTGTTTTCAATTTAAAAAATTGTGCGCGTTAACAATAATTTTTTAAAATTGCGTCAGATTTTCGTTGTGAAAATGTGAACACAAGTGTTAGTCATACATACATATGTACATATGTACATACACAAAACTGCAAAATTAATAGCTCCAGAGATTTCTCAATTTTTCGAGAAGTGCCAACAGATACGTAATCAGGAAGCTATGCGGAACAGTGGTTTATCTAACTTATGTATGTATCTACTTAGCATAGCCTACAACTCCGGATAGTGCTCCAACTTTCTAGAAACTCAGACGCGCGCACCCTGTGTGCATGGAAAGTAAATTATAGCTGAGCGACAACAGCTGGAATTGAGTGGTGGTGAGTATGGAATAGTTTTATGTCGGTAACTTTGTATGTGTTTTTGTTTTTGTTTTGGTTGTACATATAACTACACATATATTTATTTATTTATGATTTTACCTAACGTGCGCTTTCAGCTGTTGAGGCCACATTGAAATATACTCTACATATGTATGTATATGGATGAATGCTTGAAGAGCAAGTGGCAGCAATGTAAGGTAAACGGCAAAATGTTATAAAATAAAAATAAACTGCGCAGTATTCAAAAAAAAAATTTCAAAAACAAAGGAACTACATATTATAATAGACGGCAAGACGTCTGATAAAGCCCCCAACCGGTCTCCCATTTTGCGCGACCGAGAGCTACGCAGAGAGCGAGCGCCAAGCAAAAGCAAAAACAACAATACGAAAAACACCGTGTCGACTATGGCAATGGCAACGAAAACAAAACTAAAAGCAGAGTCAAATCAGAAAACGGCGCTTTTTCCACCGGCTCTCCGCTGGGTATATAAAGGAAAGTGCGCAGCAAAAATCCAGTTTAATTGAATAACACAATTCGTGCAGTGAAGACATACCGTTCAAAGGTGCTGAATAAGCAACTTGTTTAGAAGAAAGCAAAAATAAAGTTTCAAGTATTATCCTAAAGCAAAGAGACCAGCAACTGAAAGGAAGTTAATCAAATTAAAAACAAAAGCTGTAAAAAAGCAACCGCAAGATCTCATTTATAATTTATCTACTGCAAAACCAAAGTCAAAACAAAATGTCTGAGGCTTATTTCGATGAATACGAGCACTACAACTTCGATCACGACAAGCACATCTTCTCGGGCCGCAGTGGCAAGCAACGCAGCAAGAAGGAGGCCAGCGAGCACACTAATCACTTTGATCCTAATGGACATTCACGCAAATTAGTTACTAAATTTATGAATACCAATAACAATCGAAAGACGTGTGCCGCCAAGAATTGAGTGTTGGTCCAAAGTGAGGAGATAGAAGTAGTGCAGCAGCCGCAACAGCAGAAACAGAAGCAGAAGTACAAACGCGTTAGTGAGGAGCAAAAAGTTAAAAAATATATAAAAATCGAAAAGGAGACAAAGCAGAAACCTAAGAAGAAAGCGAGCTTAGTTGGAGCTACGTGGCGTCGTAATAAACCCAATACAATAAAAAATTTTGAGCGTTAGAGTCGAGTTTATTGAGAAGAATAGCAGCAGCTTGAGTAAGAAGCAGAAGGAGGAGCAGGAGGTTCGTCGTCTAGCAGCTGTAACAGGATAACGAGTTTTGGGGGGGGGGATTTTGTTCCAAGCGTAAGCTAAATTAAGGAAAGGGGGGTGCGCAGCATCGCGGCGAAGTATTATTGACTGCGTGTGTTGACGGCCAACCACTTGCAGAAACTGCCATTTTTTACATACTGACGTATAATTGTGCAGCGTATGCAAGTTGGGCGGCGGTTCACACATCAAAGCAAATACATATASAAAAAAAAAAAATATTAACATTGGAGAAAAAAGTTGCACTGCGAATATTATTATATGTGAAGATTTTGAAACACAATATTTCGTACTATTGTTAGCTATAGCATTACTTCGTAACATAAGTAACTAATTAGTATAGAAACATATACTGACACTTTTTCTGCAAAGTTTTAGGTAAAGTTTTCTTAAAACAAGTTTTTTTTTTTTTTTGTTAGTAAACTCACAAATTGTATAACGTGACACATCTCGCACCTGTTTATGCATTCTGTGTAATGCACTAATTTCACTTTGGTTTATTTATGATTTTAACATTTGTATTAATTTCTTCTGATATTCTTATTATTATATTGTAATTAGAAGTAAAAAAAACAAAAAAAAAAGAAAAGTTGAGACTGTTTAAAGCATGAAGCTGCAGTTAAATTATAACTCATTGAATAACTATTTAATAAAATATAAAACTAAAATTAAATCTAAAGAAAAACTTTTGTTATTTTAATCTTTAAACATCGGTGGTTTTGAGTAAGACTTTTAGATATGTTGTTATTGTTGTTGTAACGGCAGAATTCAACCGAGTTGACAGTCCTTAACCGTGTAAAAAATTCGTGTCCATTCGGCTGTCGTGGGAATGAGACTTTTAAATTTCGTACAAAATGATCTCTAGCAGCAGGAGTGCATAAAAAGAGTGAATTTTGAATTACCAAAATAATTAACAGCAACCAAATTGTTGTTATTGTACACAAAATACTGTCAAGAAGCATATTTTAAAAGCAATTCATTGACAAATACATATTTTTAATAACATAAACGAAATTTCCTCCCATTATTTTTTTTTTTATTTACTATCAGACGTTTACCGGTAACTTTACTGAAAAAAATGCCTTAATGATATTTCTTGCAGCAGAAAAATGAAAAAGAACCGACTCAAGCTTTTAAATATTAAACCAGAAATTTTAATTCGTTCTTTCGAGCTCCCCTTTTAGCTAACAAACACCGCGGCTACGCCCGAATTTTTTTTCAAAATTTTAAGTTTTTTTTTAACTTAAATTTCTTTTTTAAGTTTAATGTAATTCTTCGAATTTAAATATTTT